TACTAGTCATGTTATCTGCATTCAAAGCACCAAAATTCTCAAATTATATGTGTGTATGTGTGTATACGAGAAAATTGTAATTTTCGGAGAACAAACTTCATGTTTGGAGCGGCATGTGAGAAATAAGATCGCGCACAGACAATAACATAATTTGTTGTAATGAATGTGAATTTATACGCCCGAAAAATACAATTTATCGCTACTCGAATAGCCAATTTTCAATGCGAAAATGTGCGCTAGTTTTTGTAAATTTCTGAACTTAAAAAATAAAAAATGAAAATAATGCGGCAAAAAAGTAATATTATTTCTCAGCCAACCATTCATTTGCGTTTTGAGTAGCTAATATTTTATAGTCAGGCAGATATTGCGCAATTACAGAAAAAAGAATTAAAAGTAAGAGAAGTAGTAAACTTCTTACATATGTACATATGTACCATACCCAACGCATAAAAGAGCCGAAAACCAAAATACCTAAAAAGTTTCAGAAGGTAAATAAAAAATCTTAATGCAAAAGTTGGGCTTTGAAAAATATCTGCAATTTATGTAGCGCGAAAATTCAGTCATTTGATAATTCTGCACGCAGCTGACATTTTTTTATACACATAGTAAAACTCTTTTTTTTTTGCCATTTCAGTCAGTTCAAAGCCCAGTGGAAACCAGAAATGAGAATTGGTTTTGTGACCCCATTCACTTTCTTCATCGATCGCTTCAACCAGAGCTTTGGAGCAGAGATTTTTTTGTCATCGCTCCGCTCCGGTATTTTTTTTTCGCTCCGAATTGAAGCCCCGCTCCCGCTAATAGATTTTTTTTTTAACCGACTTCAAAAAAAGGATGTTATTAATACGCCGGAATATTTTTTTTCTATGTATATTATCGTAGTTATCGTATACTTTTGGACCACGTTAACCGATTTCGATGATTCGCAGGGTGGTTCCATACTAACTTAGTTGAGATCCGATCATTGGATCATGAAAAAATTAATGGTAATCCTAAATTTGTATATGAGAATTGAAGTCAGTTGTGTTTGTTGCTTAATTAACTACTTGTTATTAATTTATTTACTTAAATATCGAGTCCAAATCGCCAAAAAACGTAAGCGAAATTTTTTTCAAATTATATTTTATTTTTTGATGCTCTTTAGATGCTCTAGATCCAAACGAAATTAAAAAAAAAAAAAACAAATTTCGCTTACGTTTTTTTGGCGGTCCCTGGACAGGTAGTTCAGAGAAAGTTCACTTTGCTACTTGTGATCTGATCTTTGACAGATGGGCTGACAGTTGGCTAAGCTGACGCTAGGAAAAACCTCGGCATGTAAAGTTGCAGTATTCTAAACGTGACCAAACATTTTGTAACCGAAAAATTTAAAATTTTTATTAAGAAAAACTGAAACTTTATTTACTGGTTAAAGCAAAAATGTTTCTAGAACCGCAGATTAGACATAGAAAATCCAAGACAAACTTAAAAAAAAATTTTCGTATTTTAATTTTGATCCATGGGTACAAAAATATCAATGAATTGGATACAAAAATTAATAATCAGCCAATAAGCTTGGCAAGTGGTACGCTAGTTTACCAAATAGTCTGCTACTCAGGTAACATATGTAGACTCACGTACACAAACACACACACACATATGTATAAATATGCCCACACATTTGTTTGCAGGCAGCTTGTTTGAGGAAGTGGGCTGTGACCGTCAGCCCACCATGCAATTGATTTAAACACACATACATATGTACATAAGCATATGTATATGTAAGCATGCATAGTCAATACGGTAAGCGGCATTCAAGCACACACATACTAAAAAATACTCATTCTACACATTTTTCATCATACCGCCATCCATCTTACCCATGCAATCATTCTTAACGGCAACTCGCACCATTTTAATTGGATTTTAATGGACTCGCGCCTTTTTGCACTGAAACGTGCCGCGTATTTTTACCATTTTAAGTGAGTTACATTCACCACTTGACCAGCGTGATAGCGCAAAGCTTTTATTACCATTAGTTGTTCTCATAAATCTGATTGTAATGTGTGGCACTACACTGTCATACAAATAAACATACAACAAAGATAAAAGGAAGCTCTTCATGCACTTATACACACCTACATAAATATATTTAAACTTCTTTGCTGGATATATTTCACTCATCTAATAACTTGCAGTTGCAGTTAATGGAAAAATAAATTGAATTAACTTTGGCTCGTTCCTGTCATCCCAATTCCCCCATCTCGAAGTCAAACTGTGGCAATGGCATCCCGGCGGATTGGTCGCAAATATTAGCTTGCTGTTGCATTTATGTATGTACTGCTGTCACATAGTCGAACTCTTCGCTTAAGCTAAGTTATATAATACAAGTGCTTAAAAGGCGCTTTTGCCATTGATTAGTGATTCATATTGCCAGAAATGGCCATACGGTAAGTTTTTATGGTTTCTGTTTGGCCTCGAAACACTTGGAAACCTGACTGTTTTCTATGGTCAGCAATTAAGCTGTTAATTAGTGGAAATATTGTCATATATAAAGATATTTATTAACTAAAAATAACTGAATACGGAGGAATTTTTTTGTATAATAATTTTTTTTTGATAATAATTTAAACACTCAAGCACAATTTATTAAAACATATGTTTAGTAAAATGTTCACTTCAACTTCTTATTGCGTAAGTGTAGCCGTAAAAAGCAAATCGTTTTTTGATTTAAAATTTTTCGATTCTTCAGCATTATGAAGTTTTTGTGGAATCTTTGCAGCCGATTTCATGCGAAGAGCTTCATTCCGACTCGTTCAGTGTGAACACCAGCAGCTTCGCAGCGCACAGACTCGCTTCCTATGTACATATATAGTACATTTACTTTCCGCACTCAATTTGAAAAGAAATTGCCTGAATACGCATTTGCAGCAACTTCAAAATAAGACTTTCTTCTCATAGAAAAAAAAGTTGCGGCACAAACGTTGATAGTGAATAGATATTCCGTTAAGATACACAAAAAAACTCAATCTTTTAATTTTGGCCCTAAAATTGCCACGCCCTTTTCTAGAAGATTCTTCGATTTAAGAAAAATTACGGAACAAATGTTGTTAACCAAGGGGTAATCTACAGAAATCCACAATTAAACCTGCTTTTTGTTATTTTTAGTCCTAAAACTGCCACGCCGATTTCTAAAGGTTTTTTTAAATCTTAAACAAAACTCTTTCCAAAGAAACATTTTTACTGATTGGGTATTCTCCCGGAATCTGCAATAGATTTGCATTTTTGCAAAAACACCATTTTTAAAGCTTGCTACACATAAGTACTTACATACATACATACGTAGGTGTTGGGGAAGTAAATCAGGGAGTCTGTTTAAACTCTCGTTTCGATCGGGAATTATCACTAGCAAATTTGATCCAAAGCGACATTTTTTCAACCCTGATATCTTTTCAGCAATAATAATACCTTTATGAGGTTAATTTTAAAGAAATATGAAATTTCAGCTTTTTTTCTATTCTTTCAGATTTCTACAAAGAAGTTTATAAAGCAGTTAAGAAAGGAATTCGCACAGCAAAAATTCAAAACTATTCTGATTATATATGTACATAGATATGAGTTGATATGTGCATTTATCTCTACAACTGTATGACTGTCGGTAAATACTCGTGGTTCATTAGTTCCAAGCCAACTTGACAGCCTAAGCTCCGCTGATATCAAATTACAAAAGCCTCGCCAACAACGGTGTGACATTCAATTCAGTGCAATGAAGCGCAAACATTCCAACAGGCAGCGATTTATGAATTTTTTCACGGCAAAGCCCTTACAAGCTAGTGCACAGAGTTGAGTAGATAATGCCGCAGCAACAAGGAGTACAGGAAGTGAATGCCAGCAGCGAAAAATGGTGAAAGAATGAAGCAAAGAAAGTTGTGCGGTGACTTTGTGCGGGCACATGTGTAGGCACATATTCATGTACATGCGTGTATACATATACATATTTGTAAATATATGTATATGTATGGCTAAGTATGTTGCGTTTTTTTATTCTATCAGTAATGAAGTCAACTTGAAAGTCTTAAATGCAACGATGTATATTCATAGCTATAAACATATATATCCCTGTGGTCAGCTGATTAAGTCAAGTGACATTTTTGAAAATTTTGGCAATTTTTCTTTTGTTTATTTAAATTTTATATTTTTTATATAAAAGTCTGGCACTTTACCTAACAAGCCTCACATAAGTTCACATTGCGAACTTCGCACAAAAATTATGAAAATTGAACAAACTTAAAAATTTGCACGGGACAATTTTAAACTTTTCATTCAGAATATTAAGAAAAATTTTGGGTGCGCAGTTTTGCAGCTCATTAAATTTGAGTAGGACAAATTGGAAATTGCATAACGTTAGAAAATCGCGATGATTTTTAATAATTTTAATAATTTTAATAACACTGACGGTGTTTTGCATTTTCTTCCATATAAAATATGCTCGACAATTTCGTTTGTATGGGAGAAAATGCCTAGCACAAAAAAATATTAAAAATCAGCGCGATTTTCTAGCGTCTTGAAATTGCATTGCCTTTTGACCTACTTGAATTTAATGAGCTACAAAACTTCATACCCAAAATTTTTCTAAAAATGCTCAATAAAATATTTAAAATTTTTGAGTGCAAATGTTAGAAATTGTTGAATTTCCATAGATAAATTGCTAAACTTTTATAAACAAAAGTATAAGCATTAAATAAACAAAAGAAAAATAGCCAAAACTAGTCGAAATGTCACTTGACTTAATCAGCTGACGACAAGTGTATATACATATGTATAAATGCACACAGGTATGTGCGTTCCTGCGGCATGTCAGTTATGTGTCAACACCAATGTTTAGTTGACAGCATTTAATGAATTACACTTAACATAACTATTCATAAGCTACAATGCTACGTTTACGCAGGAATGTGAAGTGTAGTGAAGTAAATAAATAAATATTTATGTACATATGTATGTATGTATTACTCGTTTGTACTTACCGATGCGACAATGGTTAGATAGTAACGTTGCACCTTCTCGTAATCCAACGTCTTGGCTATAGTCACCTGCGGATAAAAAAGTATTTGATTGTTATTTTTCCATTAAAAAGACATAGGTTATCTACTTGATTTGTTTATGTCGCAACAATTATAGCCAATACAATACCCATACAGATGGTATTCCTATCAATCATGACGATCGGGGTGTGTTTGGGCGCTGCGCCATATCGAAACGAATATTTCGCCAATAATAAATACATATCGGAAAAAATTAAAAAAAAAAAACAACAACTACACATGTACGTATAAATATAAAATTCTGCTATTAGCTATTTCAATATTTGTTGTTTGCCATGCAATTTGATTGATTGCGCCGATTATTGACAATGAATGACAGTGGAAGGCCACACCAGCATACGAGTATGCAGCTATTCGTATGCACGCAGTTGCTTTGTCTATCAAAGATGCAGATAAATTTTGCCAAATGATTGGGGCCACCAACGCAACATGACTACGACTTTATAAAATTGCATACACATGCATATATATGTATATATGGGGCGTTCCATACCAAAGCGGACGGGGTTCACACTAAATGTGTTTCATTTGTTTCAAATTTTTAGGGTTGATGGACAAACATAAATAATAAATAATGAATGAAGTTTGAGCTTGATTAATACATTTTTAAAAACTCTACTTTTATCTTCCATTAGAAAAAAGTGCAAAAAGCCGTCAGCATAAAAAATATTAAAAATCAACGCAGTTTTAAAACTTGCACTTTATTATACCAAAATTTAATGGATTACAAAATTACATACCCAAAAAAATTTCTAAAAGAAATTTAAAAAAATTTGTAAAAAAAATTCTTAACTCAAATTATTGTAGAATGCACCCCGAAATACTATAATTAAATATTGCGCAACACTCAGAGCTACCATTTTGATTTTTTTAGGTTTTCTTGAAATGGCATATTCTCAAAAATTAATTATTTTTATCAAAAAATTTGTATGTGGAAAATTTTTCAAGAATTTTTTTTTTTTAATATTTGTTTTCACAGAGAATTTTGATGTGTGTGTATGTGATTTTTTTCAAATATTTTCTTCGGCCCGTTCTCGAGATATTTGGAAAATTATCAAATCGAATTGTTTTTATTTTTGTAACGTAAAGTTTTTAAAAATGTATTAATCAAGCTCCTATTTCATATTTATTTATTTAAATAATTATAAATTTATCTGTCAACCCTAAAAATTTGAAACAAATCAAACACCTGAAGTATGAACCCCGTCCATTTTCGGATGGAGCGCCCCATATATTTATATACATATGCGTGTACCCAAGCACATGCTTTTTGTGCTTTTGTTGTTGTTGTTTTTGTTCAGTGATATTTGCATTGCATTTTAAGATTTGTTCGGAAATTCATCGATAGAAGTGTGACAAGATTTATTGCTCGAATTTACAAGTCTTACTCTGCGAAGTGCTGAAGTTTTGCTTATCTTAGATGGTTTTAGTTTGAATCAATTTAAACCTATTTAATATTTTCATATCGATTAAGAACAATTTGGTTTTCAATAAATAACGTTGAATGTAATTTTTTTTTTAAATACATTCAGAGGCAAATGAACAATGGTGAGTTTAACTCATGTCTAATGAGAATATATGTACATATGTACGTATGTATGTATGTCTTTAAAAATTAATTGAAAAGCCTAATTTATTTGGCTTACTGGCTAAGTTGATTGACTCGATTTTTCCAAACCGATTTCAACCGTTGTTTTTTTTTTGGAATTTTTTGAGGCCATTTTTTTGAAACCTTGATTTTTCCATTTTCGATTTTAACAATCGCATAAACTAGGGTTTTACCTAGTTTATTGATATACCTGAAACTAAAAATTCTTTTTCAAAATTCATAAACACTATATCAAAATATTGTTATTTGTGAGAGAAAAAGACACACGTATTTTTTATTTGAAAAAAAAAAAATGTTTGGAGATCGCGCTAGACGTTTTTTTATAAAAACGTTGACGTTTTAAATTTGGTTATTTTCGTGACATGTTATAGAGCAGCTAAAAATGTTGTTTTAACATGTAACGAGTCAGATATTATCGGGGTATATTCCTTTAGTTACATACCTGTCATGGACAGTTAGAATGGGCCTAGTGCCCGAAAATATGCTTTCGAAAAGAGACTGATAAAATTAAAACGTTGATACTGAACGTTTTAAGTATTGTCATGTCGTTACCAGGATAACCTCCTGGGGTCGCTGATTACGAATCTGATAGCTCCGTTAATGGTTATTTGGGTCATTAGTTTGACGAGGAAAACACAAGTTTTACACTTAACAATATCAAATTGAGGCCAGTATAGTCATTTTGGTTTCAATAGCAACGAAAACTATCTATGTATATCTATATATACTAGACTGCATCACTCCCCATACAAAAAAAAAAATCGGTACTATTTTTCCACTGAAATTATAAAATCTATTATATTTTAAGACGTCCACCAAAATATTTCGGAAAAATATTAAGATCTAAATGAGCTGGACCGATTTGAAAATACCTCCAAAAATGGAGCTTTTGATGAATAAAAATAGTTTCTTAAAGATTTTTTTTTTTGAAAAAATCCCCTCAAATGACAAAACGGGTTAAGCTTAAAATATTTACATAAAACTATTAAAAAAAAATTTAAAAAAAATTTGAACGGAATCGTAATGATGAGATTTTTGATGCTGTTTTTTAACTTGAATAACTGAAACTAAACTCCTCCGATTTAGACTTAAGAGGTGTCATTGGAAAGGTATTCTCTCATCCTTTTTGTTTCTTTGATAATAAACTCATTAAAATGATGAAAGAGAAAGGTAGGATGAACGAACGTATTCTAAGTTGAATTAAGATGTGTTGATATTTGAAAAAAAAAAAATGGGACACGAATGACTTTTTTTTTGGACAGAAATAAAAACAGTGGGAAAATACCTTTCTACTGAGATCCCATAAGTTAAAATCAGAACATTTTTGGCCTTTTGACTTTTTTCAAAAAGTCCTTTAAGAAACTATTTTTATTCATAAAAAACTTCATTTTTGGAGGTATTTTCAAATCGGTCCAGCTCACTTAAATCTTAATATTTTTCCGAAATATTTTGGTGGACGTCTTAAAATATAATAAATTTTATAATCCCGGCGGAAAAACCGCAACTTTTTTTGGTGATGCAATCTAAAAAACGCGAAGAGAGTCTTTTCCACGTCATCAGATCTGCACCGTTCGTTCGATTTTCAAAAATGGACTATCAAATTAAAGGGATTGGGCTGTAGATGATCAATAAGGTTTTACCCTTTTTAAAAGGGTTGCCACTTGTCAAGAAGCTGAGTTAAAATTATTTAATAACTAATACCATTAGATCCGCATCGTTCGTTCGATTTTCAGAAGGGAGTTGTCAAATTAAAGGGCTTGGCATTTAGATGTGCAATAAACTTTAATTTTTCAAAAAGGATTGCCATCTTTTGAAAAATTCAATTCAAATTATTTAAAATAATATATCAACTATTTCTATATGGATTTCAAAACCTTTTGAAAAGCCTTTATTTCTTAACTACATGTAGGAGAGTTGCCACCTGTTTATAAAATAAATTTCAGCTTGAAATGAGATAATAGAGACCATATACGTATCACCAAATGGGTGCCAGACGAAACAGGTTTGAGGTAGTAGTTGAAAATATTTATCAGAGGGGTGCCACCTGTTTAAGAGTCAAATTTAGTTTAGCTATACACAAGTTATATGAAATATTAAAATATGCGTGTCAAACAGTCGAGTGTAAAGAAATCTTTAGTGCGAACGTACAGAAATTTTTGTGGTGTTTGAAGAGTGTTGCCACGTGTTGAGAAAGTTAGATTCCATTTATTTAATAAGTTAAATGAATTATTTAAAGTTGGCTATCAAGCGAAGTGGGTTTGAAAAGGATTTATTTCAGAACTGTGTTCGAAAGAAATTTTTCTGTAAATCTTTCGCGTAATAATTTTTCAATAATGCCATTAGGCTTCGCTTTGCCTAGCTCACTGAAATTTCGCAGAGCCACATTGAACGCGTACGACGCACTGAATTGCTCTTATATGAATGCCGCTCAATTTTCTGACGTTGAAGTGCTAAGCCAGAGCTTTCTACCTAAAGGACAAAGTATGATTTTAGTCCCCACTCGTTTTTGATTGAACTACTTTTCAAGTTTGGTTCTGCTTCGCTGAGTTCTAGTGGAATATCGGCCAGTATGAGTGCCCAGAGCAGGCGAGATAGAACTCGCCGTTGAGATGTGGCCAATTTGCATAGCGGGATGATGTTCGGGTGGGGTCGATATTAACTGCACTGCGACCAAGATATCTATTGTGCCCTCAACCTTTCACAGTACCTCATCTAAACCCATGTGGTCAGATACTCAAGTCTTTACAAGAGATTGGGGGATTACTTTGGTTGTTAAGTTGTTGAACGCTCTCTCTTTTTAGAGGATGGTAGTAATGAATTAGTGGATTTTCCTTTGTAAAAAGAACTTCGTGTAGGTTTGTCTCCGTTAACAGGTAACTTTCCAAAAAAATCCTGATACCGTATCGCGACATTAAATACTGAGTTCGCTGCCTACAATAGCAAGTGCGATTTTTCTGTATTGGGTAGAAAACATTCGATTACAAATGCCAGGATACGGCCCTAAAGTGCATGCCAAACCTTGTATTTATATAACTTAGATTCAGCACTTATGGTCTCATGAAAATTGCTCGATGCTTAAAGCTAAGGATTAGTTCGTCCGAAAGGTAGTACGCTGACAGTAGTAGAACACTTTCTGGACGCATTGACAACATAACATCACTTTGAGGCGATTTTAAGATCCCCTATAGAAATCGAAGACTGGAGGGGTTAGTATAGCTGAAAGCTGTGATTTCCAACACAGCTCAGAGCTTGAAGGCAGTATGTCTTATAAACTGTCGAATTTTCGAAGCCTTTCCCTAATCAGAAGTGTTTAACCAATGTTAAAATTTTGCCGAAAATGCGGCGTGCATATGAAGGTTTTGGAGTGCATTCTCTGTGAGAGGTCACCCTTTAACGGTACGCGGTTCAGTCTCCTGCGGTTAGGATTTCTGCTGAATCTAGAGGTAGCTGCCTAATTACGCTACAACAAAGTTTGTCAAAAGGGCTGCAATGTTCTTCAATGTTGCTCCTAGCTTTCACATATTAGTTGGGTAATTTTCTCTTATTTTCCCTGGAAATGCTATGCATCTCATCAATACATAATTTTCAACTGCAGCATCCGCTATAGTTCTCCACATCATAACTGTCATACACACACTCACCTGCCCTTGATGCGGAAAGGAAATTACGAATATGCCATAACCATCGGCAATTGTCATCTTCTCGTCTTCGGTTGTATTCGTATTGCCTTCAACAATAAAATACTCAACGAGTCCATTAACACCAGCATCCTTGTCCAGCGCTTGTATGTGGCGGAAGATTGTTGTGCCAACTGGAGTGCTCTGCAAAGAACAAACAAGTAAAATATAAAAACGAAATGGATTAACAAAGAGATACAAAGAAACGGAATTAAGTAAATGGAAATGTATGAAGCTAAGCATAAAAACTAAGTCGAGAGAGGAAGAGAAACAAAAAATAAAAATGCAATGAATATAAATAGTAAATAATGGAAAAATGTTGTGTAAATAAAATAAATTTCATTTAAGAAAATCGCAATGAATGCAACAAACGAGATGCTGACAGCAAAATACCTAAAAATGGTAAAGTGATGGTTGTACCACATGCGCTAGCAATAGTAAGAGCAACAAAAACAACAACAACAGCAAAACTTACCAATGTCAGCAACACTATTGAACATACGCTCTGCAGTCACAGCTGCCTGCGCAAATATGTATGTATTCAGGTACATACATATGTATGTATGTAAGTATATGCATGTGAGTGTAGTGGCTTTAGCGCACTTGCGAGTTGCGAGACATTACTATGCAGTGCAGGTGAAGCAGTTGAAGGAAAATTACATGTTGCCATTGCAGCAATTAACATAAATTAACTTGGCTTGAATGGCAAGTGAAATGTGCGTGGCTGGCCATATTTGTAAACGGGAGCAGAGCTGAGCAGCGGTAAGTAGAATAGAGCTAAGCCAACAAAAAGCGAAAAAGGTGGAGTGAAGGGCCATAAATACTTTGGGCGCGAGTAGAGTTTAAGTGCTGAGAAGTTCTAAGGCGCTTAAAAACAAAATACACATGGACTGGCTGAGTGTAGTGTAAGCGAAAAAATGTTGCCCCGGGCTAAGGAAGCTAGCAAACACGAGCCAGCAGTGCGATGGAGTATATTTAGACTGCAGATGGAGACTGCGGAAGCTGCAGTCAGTGCGCTATTTAGTTATTTGCGTCCAAGTTGATGGAGCCATTGGCTGAGTCTTTGGTTTGGCTTGGTGTTGGACCACAACACTCGACGCACATTAAGTAGCAAATCAACAAAGCCATAAACCCTTTTGGAAAATGCCGGCAAATGCCAATAAAATACGCCAACGGCTGGCTGAGAGGATGCAGGCAATAAGCTTTATTTGGCTATGCAGTATTTTAGCTGGCAGATGACTACTTAGCTAAGACCACAATGGGACGTTCTGGCGCAGCTAAAATGAGGAATACAAAAAAAAAAAACAATGATTATTTCTATTTAATATTCGGCCGAACTGCATACAGTATAAAGTCCTCAGTAAACTTTGCCCATTACCACTTTGCTCCCAAGCCTTTCTCGGAACGTGTTTGTATATGCAGCAATGCGAATTGTTTACTTCTTATTTTTAAACCTTTGTTTTTTTGGTTTCGTTTTGTTTTTTCTCCTCCTACTCTACACACACTGCCATAAACTACATTCTTTAACCCATTTCATTTCCACATGTCACTGATTTGTCGCTGCTCTAGTTGCTGCCGACGAAAGTATAAACAAACAAGTCGACAACACAAGCAAAAATGTCGCTTCTGGTATTAGTTGCGACAGGATTTTAATTGGCAACGAATCGTGGCACAATTTCCAGGAACACAGATACCTTAAAACCACACAGAGACTTTTGAGCAGCAAGGAAATCGAAAAAAAAATATCGAAATTAAAAAAAAAAATTAACATCGTCTCAGGGGATGCTTGCGCTTGCGCTTCATACCATAAGCTTGGCTTTGCCAGCAGCTTTGGTTTGACGCTTTGTCACTGCGCCACTTTGTCGTTGCGTGGTAGTTTTGTTTTTGTATTTTATTCTTTGGCAGTCGTCGTCTTGGTGGCGCGCCACAACAGCCACGGCAACAGCAACAGCAACAGCAACAGCAACAGCAGCAGACAGGAATTGTTAATTTCAGCGCGACCACATTTGGTGCGTGTTGTTTATTTATGTATTTATTAATTGGAATCTTGTGGCGAAACACATGCGTACAAACACATACACACACTCATGCCAGCATTCGTACACTTGCTTAGGAAATGCGTAGATATTTGTTTTTTTTTCACGTCTGCTCCCATTTTTGGTTAGCCGCTTTTTGCTGCTGCTGCTGCTGCTGCTGCTGCTGCTCTGTACGTGCATTTGTAAATACGTCTGCTGTTGTGAGTTGGCGTTATTTCGCTTTGGCTATTAGCGACTTATTTAACACACAATTAGCTAAACATGTTTTGTTTGATTTGATACTATAATTTTAGCTATCACTTACAGGTTAGGCTATCTTTAAGATACAATTATACATAGTACATAGCCTCCTATAAGGCTATAGTTTCCTAAAGTAGCTGGTAAGATAAGGAGCAACGGGATTGCTCTGGGTTATGGACGTTCTTCTGGCTTTGCACTTCCTGTTGCAGGAGGACCATACTAAATCCCGGCTTTTGCGGCCGCGTTCGCGCACTCTGGGCTCACATTGCTCCATCTACGAGATACGGTAGCCAACTCCGTGTAGGGCCTTGGGTCACAGTAGAAAGAGAGGGGCCGACTTATTCGGCTAAAGAGCCCACTGAAGTGAGCAGCGTCTAATCATCTGTATATGAGATTGCAAGTGGGCGTCAGCCTTGAAGCAACCGGTTCGCTATAAAAATGTGCATATTTTAGAAACCTTGGCTTGGAACTCGCCATGTAAAAACAATGAACAGTAAAAATTTCAAAGAAATCTCGGCATATTGGGATCATAAACATTGGCCAATCCGCAAAGGAAGCAAGGACTACGGTTTGCAGATATGCACCTGATATTTACGGACTTTTTGTAGGGAAGCTGCCTTATCTAACTGTTGGATGTCTCCGGAAAATAAAAAGTTAATGTGACCACAGTGCTAGAACTCCAATGGATGGGGCAAGCTTGTAAAAAGTATTCCAGCTCAAATTTGGAGCGAGATTTGTGGTTCTTCAAACGGAGGACAAGGACGATGAGATCAAATGGAGCTCACATGATGGCTTGAGAGAAGCGCCTAGGTACGATGTTTACCCGATAAATAAGAATAAATTGTACGAAGATCGACACCTTAATTATATCAATTTGGTGATTATGATAAACGATATCTCGCAATCTTGTTGGCGGATATGTTAATAGATTTTAGCTACTCCATTTATTGAAGCCACATTGGCTGCGGCGGTTAGATCGAAATGCACGAAAGGGACCTTGTCGGTGATCCAAGAGCTAAATTGTGCTTGATAACTTTAATACGCTAGGGTGGGCAAAGGTGTCATACTTGGTCCAAGAGTAGGAAGATTAATCTTTAATGACGAAAAAATCTCAGAAAATGAAAAGAGGCTAATCGACCTCGAAGGCGAAGCAAGTAGGTATTCCTGAAAGAAGTAACTAACACAAAAATTGGCCTTGACCTTACATTACCATATTGATCCATTTAGTAAATCTATATCTACATATGTATTTATATACAGTGGTGGAAGAAATAGTAGAATCCTTTTACTTTGACCAGTTTTGGCTATATTACTTTGCTTATTCGATGTTTAATATTTTTGTAAAAAAGTCTAGCGCAATATATAACACACACCATATAAATCCATATTTCAAAGTTTGTATAAAAATTATAAAAATTCAAAAAATTTTAACAAAATCCCCCAAAAATTTCAAACTTTTCAATTCGATTTTTTTGAAAAATGAAGTATGTTTATACGTATAATAAATTCAAACTTGTCAGAAACTCTTTCTACGTTCAATGGCACAAAGAAATATTTGGCAATTTTTTAAGCATTTTATTACCCTTATCAGGCTATCATTATCTGAATATAACCACGAAAAACGCAACAATCTTTTTACGTCAAGTTCGCTGCTTCAGTCTTTCGATTTTCCTATGCGCTGCCTTTATTGCATGCAAGTACTCATGGAAATGTACATTTGAAATATGAAGTATGAAGAAGGTACAAAAACAAATGCGGCGGGAAACCTATAAATACGGAAGGTATGTATTTTCGTACAAGTGGCCTTCCATATCAAAACGGACGGGGTTCGCACTTCATGTTTATTTATTTATTTATTTAGTCTACAGAAAAATGTTTTCTTACAGACAGTTGAGATAAAAAGATTTAGAATATTTAAGTATGTGTGATACATTACAGAGTGAAATAATTATAAATATTAACTTGTAAAGATAACAATGATATTCAATAGCAATTTGGGTAGCTGGCGAGGCCTTGTCTCCAGTCTACTTTTGTGTGCGGCGGGCGGAAAGACCTAGTTTCCGCTCCGCCCTGTTTACAGGCCGTTGATCATGGTCGGAAAGGCCGAGCTTCCGATCCATGTTCCCGTAGTCGTTACTTTGTAAGTGAGGCAGGCGGAAAGTCCTAGTTTCCGCTCCACGCTATAGACGAACTGTTGGGCGAGGTCGGAAAGGCCGAGTTTCCGATCCCTGCTCCTATTGTCCTACGCGGTCGCGGAAATATACGAAGCCGTTACAATTGTACTAAGCAGTCATAGATATTGTGTAATTTTTTCGTTCACGGTTGCAGATATTAGTTTATTTAGTTAACTTGTTGAGCAATGTTTTCTTTATTACAAAAAGCGATTCAGATATGTCGATGCAATCATAATGCTTGTTAAAATCTTGGCATAAGCACCGAAAAGCATCATGCATTTCAAAGTTTGATTTACAAATACTCAACACAATAGGTTTAAAATGTCTCGTGGGTCTTGTAGGAATACAAAAATTTATCTCACTCAGTAAAAAGGGACTACTGACCATCCCGTTCATTAATTTAATTAAAAAAAGAACACCAAGCATCTCTCTACGACTCTGAAGCGTCGGCAAATCTATAAGCTTCAGGCGATCCTTGTAGGGTGGGAGATTTTTAGACGAGTCCCAACATAAATTTTTGAGGGCAAATAACAGGAACTGTTTCTGCACTGATTCGAGCCTGTCACTATGAATTTGATAGCTAGGATTCCATACTATAGATGCATACTCCAAAATCGGTCTAACTAGAGAGGTAAAGAGAACTTTAGTGACATAAGGATCGTTGAACTCCTTGGCCCAGCGCTTAAGAAAAGCCAACAATCCTCTAGCCCTAATCACGCAGGAGTTTATGTGAGACTTGAATTCTAGTTTCGGATCCATAGTTACACCTAGGTCAATGAAATTGGTCACTTGCTCAACATTGTGGTCAGATATCATATACGAATTTGGATAGAACGATTTTCTAGAGAAGGTCATGAATTTACACTTTTTCAAATTTAGTGACATGGAATTTGCTTCACACCATTCGAAAATGCAGGTTAGGTCAGCTTGCAAATGCTCCCTATCTTCTGCAGTACTAATGTACTTAAAGAGCTTAACATCATCAGCGTACATTAAGCATTTCGAGTAATTCAACACCTTAGGAAGGTCATTTATAAATAAAATAAACAA